GAGATTAAACATGTCCTCTCTTCTGTTGCACTGGCTTCTCTACATCATGGTAACGGCTTGTCAGGTTCAACTGCAGCATTGCTGTTAGAGGCAAAGGTAGGCAGGAAGCTCATTCTTGCAATCTCTGGAACTTTAGTTAAAAACTCAAGGATATCTATTTTTTCCTTTCCCTAGAATTTTCTCAGCGTTCTCACTAACCAGATAATGTTAGCTTTATTTTGCATCCATTCATTTACTGAAGCCTACATGTGTTTCAGTAACTATGCTAAAAGATTCTGTTTGTCCCTATTTGAGGGCATTCTCAGTTCAGTGGGAGTTGGTGGCAGTGGCAGATATGTACAGTTACAAGGTGATGCAATGACAGTGGCAGGCAGAGGGAGGTCTGGGAGCACAGAGGGGAGGCACCTAATCCAGACTGGTAATATCAGGGAGGGCTTCTTGGAGGAGGTGACATCTGAGTTTCCCAAAGGAGAAGGTAGCCAAGGGAAGGAAAAGAAGTTGCAGGAAGAAGAGAGGGGCTGTTGAAGGAACTGGGGCACGGAAGCATTGGGTACTCAAACAAGGAGTGTCTGGGGAGACGGACCTTAGGGAACACAGTGGGAGTGGGAAAAGCTCAGTCCAGCCCTCTGTATGCTGAGTCACTGGGAGACTTAAAACAAAGAAGACCTTTCTTAAAGAGCAGTTTTAGGTTCACAGCAAAACTGAGCAGAAGGTACAGAGAGTTCCCACAGAGCCCCTGCCCCCAGCAGAGTTGTACGTTTATTACAATAAGAAGCCTGCATCAACACATCATTATCATCGCACTGGAAGATTCTGAGCGGGGGAAAACATTTTCACATTACCTTTTCCAAAGTCTTCTTCCTGGCACTGAGTCACAGTCGTTTTTAAAGAATTAATGGTGTAGGTTGTTACTTAGCATTTCCCCGGAGCAAATGTTTCTATGATCCCCAAAAGCCAGAGGCTACGATGGCTTCTTGTCCCACGCTGTAGATCTGTAAACCTAGAACAATGCCTGGTCTAGCAGATGCTTAGAAAGTAGAGGAGGGTAGAGGCGGGAGGAAAGCAGGGGTAGAGGGAGGGAGGGAGGAAAGGGAGGGAGGGAGGAAGATAGCAACAAGGTCTGTTGTGTATTTCCGAAACATCATCCTGGCAGCAAATAGAGGAAAGACGGCAGAGGGTGTGGCTTGTGGTCAGGGACAGTTAGGAGGCTACTGTCATGTTCCAGGTGCAAGGGGCAAGTGGTCTGAGTAGGTAGCCGTGGTGGAGAGGAGGGGACATTGAAAAGGTGGGCTCTACCCCATCAGGTGCCTGAGGACGTGAGTGCAGTAGAAAACCACCAGGAAGGTTTCGAGACCCAGGCCCAGCTCTCAGTCTTCTCTGAACCATCAAAGTAGAGGGAGAGTTTGTAAGGACTCCAAAGGGAAAGAGAACACGGGAGGGAAGGCGGGTTGGGGAGGGTCAGGTAGGATACTTAAGTTGGATTGAGTTTGAAATATACAAACTAAGGAAAATGTCAGATGGTTCTTGTTTATTGTCTAAAGAGTAGAGGGGAGAAGAACAGAAAACAGACGTTTACGTTGGTTGGGTGTTAGATAAAAGGCCCCGGGTCCTCTGCTTCTGAGTGAGAATGACGATGCGCCATGGGATGACAGGGCCCTTTGGAGGTTCTGTCTGCAAGGTAATCTGTTTGCAGATGAGCTCAGGCACGGGGAAGGTGCACGGTGTGAGTGTGGCTTGCTGAACTCACAGCGAGCCATTTCAGGGATGCTGGGACGGAAGCCGCCCTCCCTTTCCTGCCTCTGCTTCCAAGTTCTTTCTCTGCAGCCCTGTCAACGCGCTGCCTTTGCTTCATAGCACATTTCCTAATGGGCTCTGGCGGCACTGAGGCAGCCTTCATATTCCATTTGTTCCTTGGATAATAAGCTTAGCCTCGAAGCCAAAAAGAGAAAGCTCTGATGATTGTTAAATACACATCCACGGGGCTGACTGCTCCCCAAAACCTCCAGTCAGACATTGCACCAGCTCAGCAAGGCCATTTGCATCCGGGCAAATGGCCCTCAATGACTAGTAGAAATCCAACTCTATCTTGGCAAGGAAGGCCTTCAGTATGCAGCATTAATTTGGTTTGCACAGTGGAATGGAACACATCTTTAGTTCCTTTTAGGGAACCTGACTTACGCTTTCTCCAAAGGGTGCTTCCTGGGGGCTCCCAGGCATTGGAAATGCCGGCTGTAACTCATCTCAGGGGCTCCCTAGTCCCAAGCACAATCTGCCTTATTTTTTTTCCAGTTTTATAGCTCAGAGAGGATTGCGATGACGAGGTCACCTGAATCCTAATCACGCTTCGAGTCATCATTAGGACTTGATGCATTTGTTCTGGCACGGACAGCACCGCTGCAGCTCATAGCCAGAATGATTCTGTCTGGCTTCCCGCTCCACACCAGAAGTCTGGAAATGCAGGCTGTTCTTTTCCATTTGGAGTCCTGGGATCTGGGTTATTATTGCCAAAGGCAAAGGAATGAGTTTCTAGAATTATCACTTGGAGGAGCAATGCACCAGGGAGTAAACCTAGGAAGTTTCCAGAAAACTAGAATGTGATGATCTCCACAGTATACTCTGAATGTGAAAACCCAACTAATAGAACATTCGGAGGTCAGTGCAGGACTCCTCAGCCTGTCTCTGCCAGGCCTTTTAGTCAATCTAGGAGGGCGAGAAAAATCACTTCGATTTTAGGCTCTTACTGCGCTCTCGGGGCAAAAATAAGCCTGTGGCCTTCAGGGGTCTCCAAGACACCTGCTCAGTGAGGAAGTTTAGTCTCAACCTCCAGAATGAACTAGGCTCAATTCAAACAAAATTGGTGAGGACCCACTAGTGCCAGGTGGAAGGTAACTAAGGTGGGCATAGGGGAAGGGATACCCTTAGTCCTGTGGTCACAGACTTGCTAGCTGGGCCCTCACCCCAGAGAGCAGCCGCGCAGGGGCTGCAGCAACAGAAAGCTTTCCCCACTGTTAAAGCCTAAGGCCTTGTCCAGGGAAGACTAAGGCCTGGAGGAAATCACCTGGGGAAGAACTGGGACTAAAGGGCTGTGCTTTGTGCCAGGATCAGGCATACGGTTGTGCGTGTTGTCCACTGTGCAAGGACATCCAGCTGAAAGGTGAGCAAGGGCTAGATTCCAGCATGCCTGCCACACACCACACTGTGTGCCCATGGTGTTGCGTCTGTCCAGAAGGGGCATCCTTCTCTAAGTCACACAGACAGACCCTGTGGGCTCACTCGGGCCCTGGACATGAGGAGAATGAAACAGCTCCAGGAAGGGGTCAATGAAATTTGGCCGAGCAGCACAGGTCTGCAGACAGGACGGAAAATACTCCCTTTACCACACTGGCTGCCTTGCCTTTGGCGCTTTGGAAGGGAATTGAGGAATTAATAACCAAACTCACTCTATTCCATTCCTAGCACCTTGTACACATCCATGGCCATGTTAACTCTACCTACGCCTCCTCCTGGACTTGCGAGCAGTTATTCCCAGCGAATCCCTGCAGGTGCTGTACGGGACAGATCTCTGCATGGGCAGCTCATCCTGCCAGCTGGAGTCAAGCTTATCTCATCCAGGCTGGCTGAAACCCGTAAGCAGTCCTCTTTCGGAATTCTGCCTGCTGTGCTAACCAAATGTAGTTCATGTTACCTGTCTTTTTAAAACATTTCTAGCCTTTTTTCTCCTGTATATTCATGATTTAATTTTGTATGCCACTTTTGTCAGTTGCTACACGCTAAGCATTTTCCATAGTGCCACGTCATTTCCACACTGCCATGTGTCAGTATGGCCGTATTATCGCCAGTTAAGCAGGGCTCTGTAGTCTGACTAATCATTATCAAATGGTTTACTTAGCAGACACATGTGCCCCTGGCAGGAAACATTGAGTGGTGGGTAGAAGATCTCTCCTCAACTCTGTTCTGTTCAACATTTTTGCTGATAGCCAGGATGAAGGTGTAGCATGCAGACCACTCAACAAATTGGCAAAAGACACAGAACTGGAAAGGGTAATACATTGTTTGGACAAGGTAGTCAAGATTCAAGATTGCCCAGCAATGCTTCCCTGGAAACTTTTTCTTACCTACCCCTATCTGCATAGGGTTTTGTCAGAAAACATTTTAAATGGTCCAT